AGCTATTATGCATTTTTTTTTCTGATAGTGATTATGAATTTTTGTATTTCTTTAGAAAACTAATATTATTAAATATCAAACGGTTTTGATAACTATTTACTATAATTTAAATATTATGTTAGTAGTATATAATAAAATCTTAAAACTATGAACTGTATTATATACATGACTAGTTTTAACTGATATTCCTATACTGAAATAAAAATATCGAATTTTTATAATACAATGTTCAATACACCACACTGCTGATGAATTGTATTTTAATTTTGAATGATCTAATTTTTTTTTTTTTTATATTGATCTGAAATATACATCGACAACTAAGCCATTAGTACACGAATTTTTTTTGATTACATTGTTAGTATTTTAGTATTTACATGATTACATTAAATTAAATTGTATAATTCTGTTGTTTTTTTTTAAGAATAAAATTAAGATTTTAACGTCCTGTGGGTTTGGTCCTATTGCTTGACAAATTTGTTCTGAGATGTGGTATTGATTTCGATACTGGTTATATTTTTGACATTCTGTAATGATGTGGTTGACCGTTAAAAGTACATTGCATGAGTCGCATAGTGGAGGATCGTCTTTGCCCATCAAGTAGCTGTGTGTCAGGTGTGTGTGTCCAATTCGGAGGTGGTTTATTATGGTTTACTATAATTATTTTTATTAAATTCTTATCGTTGTACCTTCTATGTAATATTTAAATAAAATAACACATTTACTTAAACCACAAAATGAATACTCAGAACTTTGTTTACCTTATTATTTGTAATAATTGAATTCGTTGTATGTCTATATAATATTTATTGGTCATTGATACATGCGCAACTCTCCAATGAATTTTTTTTGACATACTGCCAAATATTGCACGGTTTTGTTTTCGGTGTCTTCTATTATAAAACACTATGAAAATACAACAATTCCCTTTTCTATTTTAAGTATCTACTCACATGATATTATACACGTCAGCATGTTCATATCATTACAAACATCGCATTATAAATTTTAAATGTTGAAAGATTCAAATGAAAAATCTCTAACTAATCATATCATAACAAACTACACCATTATTTAAAAAGTCACTGACTTACCGAATTAAAAATACAATGGAATTTATAGTAAAAATTATATAATATTGACATACCAGATATTTTCGATGATTATTTATCTGAATCGCACCTGTATTTTATATCATA